CTTATCTAAGACCTCTTCGCAGACACTTCGAAAACCCAAAGAAACGGCCATCATTTTATTAACCACCTCACACTGCTAAGCTACTCAATATCTGCTGTTGATCTCCTAAGCAATTAGATTATGAGCTCAAGATTTCTTTTTACAATAACTGTCTAATTTCTCGCGCGCTGATTGGCTCATTTTTATCATCAGTAAGAGTACAGACGGATAGAATTTTAATTTATGCAAGCTTTCAAGTTCAACTTTCAGCTGTCAAACTGTCAACGTTTTAACCAGTGAGATTTTATGGACTTTTTTAAGTAGCCAATCCAAAAGCGAGAAATTGACAATGTTCGCGTCATTTTGAATCAAATTCACTTATCTTTGTTTACGGCAAGTTTACGGCGTCTTTTCCCCTCATTAATTCCCGGCATTTGACTATTTTGGGGTCTTGTTATTGTAAAAAACAAATTGACGTCAGTTTTTTTATGCGTCTGTCCTCTTCATGATGATAAATTTCGTCATAACATTGTCAAAGTTTTCGCTCACGATTTCTATGCGTGATAGAAATCTCGAGCTCATAATCTAATTGTTTAATAGATAGTGAGTATCGTAGCCAATCAGAAAACGGCATTCGTGATAGAACGCTACAGTAGATTTATACTAAAACAGAATAGGCAGTAAGTAGCTAGCGCAGCCAATAAGGGATCATAAGAGAACGGTATTGATGATGGAACGCTAGTAGATCTGTAGACTGCGAATAGTCTCTCTTTTCCTCGAAAATCCGTGGGGAAGAACGCAAGACAAGTAAGTGTGCGAGCGTGAATGCAAGCGTGACGTACGAGCGGCGATGCTGCGAGCCGCTAGTGCTCGTCTTCCAACGCCCGCGCTACTAGCGGCTCGCGGCATCGCCGCTCGCACGTCACTCTCACAGTCACGCACGCACGCTTACTTGTTTTGCGTTCTTCCCCACGGATTTTCGAGGAAAAGAGAGACTGCTTGCAGTCTAGTAGATCTATACTAAAAATCGATAGACATATGCTAGTCTTTCCAATGTACTGGGCGTTGCAGCCTTGTGTACGAATGGGTATATTATTCGTGATGCGACATCATTACATTTAAAATTCTTCTTAGTGCTGAGAAAGGGCAGTTTTCTAGTTTGAGTATATCTTTTATTGAACTTGTCACTTGGCACGAACTTGAGAGAGCTTTCATCAAAACTTCTTCCGCAGAAAGTTTTGGTAATTAGTATTTAGGCCCACCTGTTCAAATATTTCTTTTATAACAACATGGGTAATAAAATGTTAACCAATCACAGAAGAACATTCTAGTGACGTCAACAAATGAACAATTTAAGAAAGTGACGGGTGGCAACATGCGTCCTACACCGGAGCTAAAAAGATCAGATTTGCGTTATAATCGCGATATTTAATTGATATTTACTTTGTACGGCTGACAAGAATATGAAAACCGAAGTGTTGTAGAAATAGGTGTCGCGTTAATTTACATTAGAGCAGTTACTTGGTTTTAATTTCCAGTTTGAATTTACTAAGCTAGCTGGGTTGTGGTTCCTTTTAAGCCTTGATAAACAAAAATTATTCACAGCATATCTCAAAATGACTTAAGTACCAACACGTTACAGTTTAGCAGAGACCCAGACACATTTTTACGCGAATTTTTTTCCAGAGGGAGGATGCCATGGTACATTGTTGGTGATTGCCCCGCTGGAAGGATGCCTAATGCAATATCATGGCGAATCAGCTTCCTCGTCATAGGAGAGATCAGCACCTTATCTCTCGATTTTTGCCCAGATAAACGAAAACACTTTGATGAACCATCAGTTTCTCAAAACTACAAACATTAAAACAATTTGACATCCAGTATAGCGATCAGAATTTCCCTCTTGAATTAGAAACTGTTAAGGTGTCAGAAAAAGAGACTTAAAAATTGCTATGATCTTAATTTGTAAAAAAGGCAATAATTAGACAAAGGCGTCTTCAAGTCTCACGAGGAACAGCTTCTGAAACTTGACATTCAGCCATTGTTTGCTTTGCCTTCCTGTATCATTGGTTATCTGTGCTGAACCGATTATGATAATTTCCCACCAAAAGTTGCAATCCAACTGAGACTACATGTTCGTTCGCTAAACCAAGACTTATGTCACAGGATTTGTGTTACGGTTAATGGAATATGAAAACTGTTTATCAATTCCAAAAACAAAGTGAAGGTTTGATTACGACGAATCGTTAGACATGTTAGGTTCGATGACGAGTAAACATTTCCAAGACACCTACTTCAGTGGCTAAGTCACCCAGAGAGTTGCTTTACTAACACTTAATTAACCGGCGACGGAACGCAAAATGCAAGTGGAAAACACCAGTTTCTACAAGACACATGAAATCTGGAACTTCTTGGAAACGGATAAATCCTTAGCACTGTCTGTGGGTGTCATCATGGTTATAATGTGCCCAATGATTGTCTTTGGAAATACACTGATTATCTCTGTTGTGTGGAAAGACCCTTTAAGAAACCTTCGTTCGTTCACTTCCAGCTACATACTACAGTCACTAGCCATTGCTGACTTTTTGGTGGGTTCCATCCTGTGTCCTCTACATTCTTATTGGTCGCTGACATCAGCCGTTGGCGATGAACCACTTTTCTCCGTGCGTGTGCCACTGTCTCTAAACGCCATCTTGATAAGCGTGTCAGTAGGTCATGTGCTGTTATTGACCATCGATAGAGTTTTGGCATTGCTTGCACCGCTGCAGTATCGAGTCAAAGTGACTAACAGACGTGTCTGTACCGTGATTTGCGCTATTTGGGGTTACGCCTTGGTTCTGGGAGTTTTTCACGTTGCGCTTGCCGATCACTTCCTTATTTTCAGCATAATATACACTGCGCAAGTCCTCATAGCCGTTTCTGCCGTCATTTGTATGAATATCGCGATTCTCTGTCACTTTCTGAAGGATTCCACGAGGAGCGAAAATTCAACGGAGGCAGTGCCAATCCGACATTTTTATCAAAGAGAGAAAAATCTCAACAAGGCCATAGCCCTCATAGTGTGCACAAATGTTGTTTGTTTCACTCCATGGCTATTAATCGAGACAATACTATATTTATGCATGTTATGTCGCCCAAACCTGGAGTCACTAATGAAAGGGCTCGGGTTTTCATCAATTCTGATATATATTATTTCTTTGTTGAATCCTCTTCTATACTCGTGGCGCTTGGCAAGATTTCGAAACTCGCTCAAGCATTTGTTATCAAACAGTCCCCACAGGGTTCCGCACGAACAACCAGAACATGTGGAGCAGGAGGAGTACGACACGAGACTTTAGTTAATTTGTAGCAAAATACGCTAATTAGGCTAAGACGAATAAACAAGGGAAGTAATTTAAA